CCTACAACCTGTCGTCCTACAGCCGGTCCTACAACCTGTCCTCCTACAGCCGGTCCTACAACCTGTCCTACAGCCGGTCCTACAACCTGTCCTCCTACAGCCGGTCCTACAAACTGTCCTCCTACTGCCGGTCCTACAACCTGTCGTCCTACAGCCGGTCCTACAACCTATCCTCCTACAGCCTGTCCTCCTACAACCTGTCCTCCTATAACCTGTCCTCCTACAGCCTGTCCTACAACCTGTCCTCCTACAACCTGTCCTCCTACAGCCTGTCCTCTTACAACCTGTCCTCCTACAACCTGTCCTCCTAAAACCTGTCCTCCTACAACCTGTCCTCCTACAACCTGTTCTCTACAGCCTGTCCTCCTACAACCTGTCTACTTACAACCTGATATCCTACAACCTGTCCTCCTACAGCCTGTCTTTCAACCTGTCTACCTACAACCTGTCCTCCTACAACCTGTCCTCCTACAACCTGTCCTCCAACAACCTGTCCTGCTACAACCTGTCCTCCTACAATCTGTCCTCCTACAACCTGTCCTCCTATAACCTGTCCTCCTACAACCTGTCCTCCTACAATCTGTCCTCCTACAACCTGTCCTCCAACAACCTGTCCTGCTACAACCTGTCCTCCTACAATCTGGCCTCCTACAACCTGTCCTCCTACAACCTGTCCTCCTACAGCCTGTCCTCCTACAACCTGTCCTCATACAACCTGTCCTCCTACAACCTGTCCTCCTACAAAGACCAAATCAAGAGAACAAGCCGGATACATAAGTGTCCATCACTTGTAAGGGGACTTATACTTAAGAAACAGTCACTTATAAAATAGACTCTGAGATAGATAGATAGCTTAAGCCTCAGGAATCTTTACACACAGAAATCACAATAGCGTGATGCATCAAATGAACAAATCCACAAGGGCCGATTAAGGCGATTCACTCAGTCGATTAAGGCAGCGTCTGGGATCCTCTTGGACGTAGGTTCGAATCCTCGTCACTTGTAGATCTGTTCATCAGGAGTCTTCCGTTCCGAAAATAGACCAAGAGCCTTGAGGAGCTCCTCTCAAGAGAGGCGGATACGAGGGGAAGACTTATATAAATGAACGAGAGCCATTGTCAAAGGGGTTATAAATAAATAACTGATTATCTATATCTATAGAAATTATCTATAGAAAATTATCTATTATCTATAGAACAACGTAAGTAACTATTAAATGAACATGTCAAGATCTGGAAGTCTGCATACAATTGTCAGTATCACAAACTATCTTGTTGACCCGACCACACACTAGAAGGTGAAGGGACGACGACGTTTCGGTCCGTCCTGGACCATTTTCAAGTCGAGGGTGATGATTGTGACAATCGACTTGAGAATAGTCCAGGACGGACCGATACGTCGTCGTCCCTTTACTTTCTAGTGTGTGGTTTGGTCAACATACTTCAGCCACGTTATTGTGACTCCTCGTCTGCATACAGACTATCTTCTTGAGGTTATCTTGAGATGATTTCGGGGGGCTTAGCATCCCCGCGGCCCGGTCCTCGACCAGGCCTCTTTTTTTTTTTTACACCCCCCCCCCCAGGAAGCAGCCCGCAGCAGCTGTCTAACTCCCTGGTTCCTACTTACTGCTAGGTGAACAAGTACATCAGGGTGAATGAAATTCTGCTCATTTCTTTCCGCCTCCGCCGGGGATCGAACCCGGAACCTCAGGACTATGAATCCAAAGAACTGTCCACTCAGCTGTCAGACTATTCCCAAGTGCCCGGATATCATTCACAGACCATTCTAAAGTTCCCGGTTATCATTCACAGACCATTCCAAAGTTCCCGGTTATCATTCACAGACCATTCCAAAGTTCCCGGTTATCATTCACAGACCATTCCAAAGTTCCCGGTTATCATTCACAGACCATTTCAAAGTTCCCGGTTATCATTCACAGATCATTCCGAAGTTCCTGGATATTCCCAAAATATTCCAAGGTTCCTATATATTATCCACGATATCAGCAACCTTCCAAGACTTGCTTGTTATCCTAAAGTAGGAATTAAAATAGATTTTAGGAAAAAAACAAAATTTTCAACAATAGATTGAAAAACACACAATTTGATTTAAAAAAAAGGTTATTGGTTAGATTTGGATATAGCAAAGGAGTTGCGAAAGTGTATATATATTTAAGTGTGGTGGTATATGTACTCCTTTTACGGGATCACCATAGCCCGTGCTACATGGATATTTCGTCCTGAGTAACTAAATCTAAAACAACAACAACAACTGTACTCCTTTAAGTGGGTGTATATATATATATATATATATATATATATATATATATATATATATATATATATAGATATATATATATATATATATATATATATATATATATATAGGTACTTATTTAAGTGTGGTGTGTATGCTTTATAAGTGTGGTTCACAGGTGTATATATGTTGTGTATACTTCTATAAGAATGGGGAGTATTGTCGCAAGTATGACGGTGTACACAAAGGTAAACTCCTTATAGTGTGGTGTCCGTGAGTAAGCATGTGAGTCAGAAGTACTCGAGTATGAGTAAAGTGAGTGTGAATCCAAGCCAGGTGAATCCTCGTTGGTCTGAATGAGACGAATGATTGTCCAGTAGAGGTGAGTACTTCCATTCACCCGGGTTCTAAGAGACTCGAACCCGTGAACCCCACCTGTGTGAAGCTCTATCGACCGAGCTATTGGGGAGCCCAAATAGGAAAAGTTTACGGAACTTTTTAGATGAGTACTCGTCTGCCTGAGAGAGATGTGTATGCATTTGCCGAGGTGGGGAGCGGATGTCGTTCGTGAGAGGAGAGAGAGAGAGAGAGAGAGAGAGAGAGAAGGGGAGAGAGAGAGAGAGAGAGAGAGAGAGAGAGAGAGAGGAGAGAGAGAGAGAGAGAGAGAGAGAAGGGGAGAGAGAGCTTGTGTATCCTTGTAGAGTCATAAATAATAAAGAGGTTTAGACAAAAGAGAGGCCGAACATCCCCCAAAGTCAAGTCACTTGAATGGTGTTTGGCTGACGCTTAAAACACTGTCTCTCTCTCTCTCTCTCTCTCTCTCTCTCTCTCTCTCTCTCTCTCTCTCTCTCTCTCTCTCTCTCTCTCTCTCTCTCTCTCTCTCTCTCTCTCTCTCTCTCCTCTCTCCTCTCTCTCTCTCTCTCTCTCTCTCTCTCTCTCTCTCTCTCTCTCTCTCTCTCTCTCTCTCTCTCTCTCTCTCTCTCTCTCTCTCTCTCTCTCTCTCGAACTGAATCCAGGAAACCGTACAAAGAATGCCAGAGAGCATTAGCGAAGATGGAACGAGTAGTCCAGAATGAATATTAAAGAAATCATAAATAAACGCAAACGCGAAATTAATTCACCGCAAAAAAACACTTGTTTTAGAACGCCCAACATGCAGGAAATAAGACGGAGGATCAGCAAAGAGCATGCAGGAGAAGTGACGGAGGAACTAATGAAATTAGACCCCTAAAATTAGCACAAAATACGTCAATAGTTGCATTGATATTTACTGAGATGAAAATAACTTGAGGAAGTATTCGCGAGACCTTGGCATTGAACTACTACAAAGCGAAGTGGAGAAGTGTTTGTTGACGAGCCCAGAGGAACCCAATACTGCAAATCTAAACAAACATCTTTCACCTATCTTGACTAAAGTGGAAAAAAATGGGGTATATTTCTTCGCACTCTACACTCACACACACACACACGAGATAGAGTTCAAAGCTGGCGTCAAAGACCTCTATTTGACATATTTGACGGATATATCATTTGTTATTTCAATCTAAATAGCATCACTTTGACGTTTTGAATATGTAGTTTCCTATCACAATATAGTATCCTGTCTCTATAGACTTGTAACTCCTCCTCTCAACTAATAGGTTTATTTCCATACGTTATTACCTCTAATGTACAAAATTACTCTGAAAAGCAACGACTCACATATATCCACGATTTCTATACATTGGTTGGATTAGGTTAGGAAGGTTGCTTGGGTGTGCACGTTGTGGCAGGTTCGTCAGCACTAAGCCTGAGCCATCACGTGACCTTGAATCATTTCCCTTGGGTCAACAGCAACATCAGTAAATTTGCTGATAGCAGAACCTGAACAACACGCCTGAAATAGACCCACAGAATGAACTGAATACAGACAAATGCAGTTCATTCATTGCTGGTAAATGTTGGTTTCTAAGACTGGAAAAATATACTCATAAGACGGCCATAAATATTGAATTTCTGGGAAAACAAATTATGTAAATGAACAGAAAGTCCTGGTTAGTAGAGAGGTCAGACTAAGACAACACTGAAGAGTCTATGATAAATAGGAGCCACACACATTCACCCCAAGAGTATACTGAGAGCTGTATACCGCTTCACAGTATATATATACAATGAAAGTTTACTTTAATCCTGGGTCATGTTCTAGACTAAAGTATTCTTAATTGTTCTTCAGAAAACTATTGCGGTAGCCTTAATCATCTTCCGCTGTTAATACACCCAGACTTAAACAGTGATTCACCGAAAGATGTACCCAGCATATCGGTGTATATTATACACTAAAAGTTTACTTTAGTACTGAACCAAAGAATACCTACTGGATGGTTAGTAAGCTAGAGTAACTGGCATTCTAACCTCCTCCAGAAATTGAAAATGAAATTGAAATAAGTTTAGTGAGGCAAAATACACACAAAGGGATGAGGTAGCTCAAGCAATTCTCAGCCCGTTAACCTCTCCAGAGGTTGAGAGGACTTGAAACCCAACAGGTAAGCTGAAACAATGCATATTGATGGTATATTTTTCCATCTTCAAGACCCAGGCAGAACTGCCACCTCGCACCAAGACCCCTGAGTCTGAAGCCCACGCTAGCAACACCCTCACTGAAGTTCACTGAAGCTTAACAACTCGACTATTCTGCCCCCTTGTTAACAAGCTTATGGCACGTGACACAACATAAATAAATCTGTCTGTCACCATTCATCAACCGGGTACTTTGGTACTCCACTGTAGGGTACAGGACTGTTTCACTGCTTACTAAAATGTCCCAAAAGTTAAGAACAAGGCTATATAATTGTTATATAACACCTATTCAATGCTACTAATTCAGTGTTAATTAACTTGACTCTCTCTCTCTCTCTCTCTCTCTCTCTCTCTCTCTCTCTCTCTCTCTCTCTCTCTCTCTCTCTCTCTCTCTCTCTCTCTCTCTCTCTCTCTCTCTCTCCTGGCGGGAGTCACGTAAGGGGCTAGGAGGCAACAATGAATGCATTCCCGCACCCTCACTCCTTTGGGACCTCTGTGTTGGGGCCTCTGTGAGGGCGGTGGGTGGAGAGGGCGGAGACGGAGAGAGAAATGTGCGCGGAGGAGAAAAGGCGGCTTGAAGAAAACAGGAAAAAATCGTGGAGAAGATTCGGGCAGGTAAAGTTGGGGATAAAAGAGTAAGAGAGAGAGAGAGAGAGAGAGAGAGAGAGAGAGCGAGAGAGAGAGAGAGAGAGAGAGAGAGAGAGAGAGAGGGAGGAGAGAGAGAGAGAGAGAGAGAGAGCGAGAGAGAGAGAGAGAGAAGCAAGGTATCACCCACTGAGAATTACAAGAGCTTCTCACCACGCACGCCCACCAGGAACACAGCTCTCAAGAGTGAACTACTGTACTGAAGGAGAAGAACGTGTCCCCTCCACGCTCTCTATCAATGCAGGCTCTTGTCCCCTGGTCGCTACTGGCCGCCGCGTGGATAAAAGTTCGACACACTCAAGCGCGCGCCAGCTTAACTAACCTTAACCAACACAAGCTGTTAAAACCCGCGACTTTCACCATTCTACGTCACTGTTGATATTACCTTTATCATCATCCTAGCGAGTATACTTTAGAGACGAGGTTTTATAATGCTGGCGGAGGATTCAGGCTCGGATGATAATGGATTACCGGGCGTTCTTGCGTCAACAGTGTATACTCACCATGTTGTGCTTGCAGGGGTTGGGCTCTGGCTCTTTAGGCCCGCCTCTCAACTATTAACTGATTTTTGTTCATACACACACACACATCCCCAGGAAGCAGCTGTCTAACTCCTAGGTACCTATCTTACTGCTAGGTGAACAAACCCATCAGGGTGAAAAAAACACTGCCCATTTGTTTCCGCCATCGCCGGGGATCGATCCCCACGACTATGAATCCCGAGCGATGTCCACTCAGCCGTCAGGCCCCTTACCTGTGCGAGCATCAGGAGTTTCTTCACTCAAATACAGCTGTATTATATATCGCGTCCTGGTTGGGATTTATCACGGAGTTTGTGGTATTATTTTCAATGGTAAAGAAAGTATATTTTCTTACTGATATAGATATACAGAAAGTTTAAATACAATGCCTGAAGATTTCTTTTGTGAAATCTTGAGGTTCTCTTGAGATGATTTCGGGGCTTTAGTGTCCCCGCGGCCCGGTCCTCGACCAGGTCTCCACCCCCAGGAAGCAGCCCGTGACAGCTGACTAACACCCAGGTACCTATTTTACTGCTAGGTAACAGGGGCATAGGGTGAAAGAAACTCTGCCCAATGTTTCTCACCGGCGCCTGGGATCGAACACGGGACCACAGGATCACAAGCCCAGCGTGCTGTCCGCTCGGCCGACCGGCTCCCATTCACAGCGAATAATTAACCGGAACCTCGTAAATACTTAGAAATTTAGAAGGTTGAATTACTCAACATTGCAACAAAATTGTTATAATATAAACAGTCCAATTCGCCCACTAACTATATATTGGGTAGAAAACTATATTATTGAAATATATATATATTAATATATATATATATATATATATATATATATATATATATATATATATATATATATATATATATATATATATATATATATATGAAATATATATATATATATATTGAAAAATATATTATTGAAATATATAAAAATAAAACAAAAATCCAAATGCAATATATATAAAATATAAATCGCGAATACAAAAAAATACAAAAAAAATATAGGCAGTGGAATTAGAGCCAAGTTTACAAGATCCAAACAGCTGAACCAAGTGTGGAGCACCACAATGGTCTCAGGCAATGTTTGGGTCACCAAATACGGTCTTAGTTGGTCTTATAACCAACACTGCTTACGCGAGCTTTTGTGGTAAATTATGTCAGCTAATACTGTTGAGTCTTTAATCAGTATAGTCTCTCGCTTGTCTCTAGACAGTATAGTCTCTCGCTTGTCTCTAGACAGTATAGTCTCTCGCTTGTCTCTAGACAGTATAGTCTCTCGCTTGTCTCTAGACAGTATAGTCTCTCGCTTGTCTCTAGACAGTATAGTCTCTCGCTTGTCTCTAGACAGTATAGTCTCTCGCTTGTCTCTAGACAGTATAGTCTCTCGCTTGTCTCTAGACAGTATAGTCTCTCGCTTGTCTCTAGACAGTATAGTCTCTCGCTTGTCTCTAGACAGTATAGTCTCTCGCTTGTCTCTAGACAGTATAGTCTCTCGCTTGCCTCTAGACAGTATAGTCTCTCGCTTGTCTCTAGACAGTATAGTCTCTCGCTTGTCTCTAGACAGTATAGTCTCTCGCTTGTCTCTAGACAGTATAGTCTCTCGCTTGTCTCTAGACAGTATAGTCTCTCGCTTGTCTCTAGACAGTATAGTCTCTCGCTTGTCTCTAGACAGTATAGTCTCTCGCTTGTCTCTAGACAGTATGGTCTCTCGTTTGACTCTACCCAATACGGTAATATATCTCTATATATTTATCTGCAGTTCTCTCTCTCTCTCTCTCTCTCTCTCTCTCTCTCTCTCTCTCTCTCTCTCTCTCTCTCTCTCTCTCTCTCTCTCTCTCTCTCTCTCTCTCTCTCTCTCCGGTGAAGCAACTTACCTGAGCGCTGGGTATAGCGTCTCACTTTAAGTTCCTCATTGTTTACGATGATTGATTGATGAAGCTTTAGTCACCACAAGAGGTGGCACGGGCATGAATAACCCGTAATCCATGTTTATATCAAGCCAGAGTTCTCGCGTCTGAGTCTTGGACTGTCTCAGTATTGCCTATTTCTATTTGTTCTTCGTTCTGGTATTATTCTGTTCTTTTGGTTGGCCTTTTGTGTTACTTTTTGTTCAATATATTTCTGCATTCTGTTTGGTTTTTATCGTTAATTGAAAAGGTCATATTTTCTAATGTTTTTTTTTTGGTCACTCACGTTACTCACGTCTGGGCTGGTCACTCACGTTACTCACGCCTGGGCTGGTCACTCACGCCTGGGCTGGTCACAATATACCGTAAAAAAGTTAATTATTCAATCCCAATAGCGATAATTCTGAACAATAATAATAATTAAAGAAATTAGCGATAAAATCACCAGCAATGATCATTGATAATTTATTTTATAAAAAAACAATGAAAAAATCCACTTTTAGTATCAATAACTTCTCTTAAAACCCCAAAAATAATAATAGGAATATGAAAAACATCAGTCAGAAAATCCTGAAGCTTAGCAGCCCGTCCTCCTAAGGTTTGCCAACGTTTCAAGAAAACTGGTCAGTTTAAAGTGGTCTCTCCTACCCTACCAGAGGACCCAAAACAGAAAACGGGACAGTAGGTCAATTTCGCCAGCCGCTTCCTATTTTTCTAGTTCAACAATTTTTGCCCTTAGGGAACGCATACGATCGAAAAACGACGTTCTTTGTAGGAGGACAGGTTGTGTAGAGAGCAACACAGGGACACGACAAGCACATCAATGTGTCGTGGAGACCAGACACAACATCAGTAGGGAGAGACTTTGAGCAAGATATAAAAAGTTACATCAGTTGACCAGACCACACACTAGAAGGTGAAGGGACGACGACGTTTCGGTCCGTCCTGGACCATTTTCAATTCGAGGTCCAGGACGGACCGAAACGTCGTCGTCCCTTGACCTTCTAGTGTGTGGTCTGGTCAACTTACTTTAGCCACATTAATGTGACTCATCGCCTGCAAGTTACATCAGAATCACTGCCTCTGGAATTTTGTTATGACACCTATGTCCAGGACTTCTGTCATTATGGATCACTTCTGTCTAAACGGATTCAAAGAGCAGCCACTCATATTCAAATGATGGGACTGCACGATGTATATACAGATGAAAGAGCATAGCACTTCTTTCCACCTTGGCAGATAGTACCTTTTGACATCCTGACCCCTGCATACCCCACCAAGAAACTAATCACAAGCAACCCTCATGCTCAGCTTGCTGCTAAATTAAGCACAATAGAACACATTCACAATATACAAACTGAAAACAACATAGCACAGACCATATACACTGACGGATCACTCAATACAGCTACAGGGAGGGCAGGAAGTGCTGTTATTGCTCATCAGTCCGATGGCAGCACAATTCAAAGGAATATAAGAATTAGTTACTGGGCATCCACAATGCAAGCCGAATTGGTAGCAATACTGGTAGCACTCGAAATTATTGACAACACTGAAGTAGACAGCTTAATTATTTCCGACTCCCTTTCCTCACTACTAGCAATAAACAGTTTACAATCAAGTAATAACTTGCTTGTCTCAGAAGCTAGACATAGATATATAAGCATATTTAACAAGAGGGTAAATATAAAAATGTTGTGGATTGCTTCTCACATTGGCCTGCAGGAACATGACAAAGTTGACGCCTTTGCTAAGGCTGCAGTAAATAAAGACAGTATTGAACGGAATCTTGAGTTATCAAATAGGTCCCTTAAAAGTGTCATTAGACGAGCACTCCTGGATGGATTTGAAGAAAGTAGAACAGTGCAAACTGGAACTAGCAGGTCCATTGTTCATCACAATGAAATGTGTGAAGTAAAACATGTGTATGGGGCAAGTAACAAAGTCAGTAGACTAACAGATGTTGTCACAACTCGAATAAGACTTGGCTACAAGTATCTCTGGCAGTTCGGCTTGTATAGGGATCTAGATGAAGTAAAGTGTAAAGTGTGTGGACATAGACAGGGACACACACTCGAACACTATATCATGGATTTTAGTAAAATTGAGCCATTTAAAGATAAATCTAAGCTCACTCTGTATGATATGGCAACCTATCTTATTACCAAGGGTAAAATACCTGAAATCCTTGCACTGTATCTATATTTCGCTTCCAGTAGATAAACGACATATGAGATTAAGAAACAAGTAGTGTATTGTGAAGACTAACAACAGCTCCCCTATGACTCTGTAATAGCTCCATTGCTCAAACAATTATGTATTTGCGATAAAACCTACCATTAATGTATAATGCCTTACTGTTAATATATAGCTCTTGAAATAGAACATTCTCTGTAACTAGCTGACAGTATAGTTATAAGGTGTGAAGGATAGATGAAATTGTCTATGTAATAATCTAAGTTGCAGTCTGATAAAGACCTTTTGTGCCCTCTGTAATGCTTTTTGCGCTAACGCTCACAGGATGGGTATGGGGTGCACAATAAACTAGCCTCCTCCGGCGACAACAATCACAAAATCAATGACACTAAGCTCTGGACGTACTGTGATCCAGGGAAGCTGCTAGAGAGTGTGACTCTCAGACTCTTAGTGACTCTCAGACTCACAGTGACTCTCAGTGACTCTCAGCATCGCTCATGGTTATACAGTATTTAATCTAAAGATCGTGATAAAAACTCTCTTTTGACAAAGCAGTTTTCATTCTCAAGAAGTTGAGAATTATATATATATATATATAATATATGTTTGTGTGTGTACTCACTTAATTGTGCTTGCGGGGGTTGAGCTTTGTCTCTTTGGTCCCGCCTCTCAACTGTCAATCAACAGGTGTACAGATTCCTGAGCCTACTGGGTTCTATCATATCTACATTTGAAACTGTGTATGGAGTCAGCCTCCACCACATCACTGCCTAGTGCATTCCATTTGTCAACCACTCTGACACTAAAAATATTCTTGCTAATATCTCTGTAGCTCATTTAGGCACTCAGTTTCCACCTGTGTGTGTGTGTGTGTGTGTGTGTGTGTGTGTGTGTGTGTGTGTGTGTGTGTGTGTGTGTGTGGGTGTGTGTGTGTGAGACATTGACACTGAAACCACTGTACAACTCACCCGCAGGATGGGTATGAATGGGGTCCATAATTAGCTAATCAAAACTCGTACCCACTGCGTTTGGGCATCTTGGGGGGTCACCATACGAGTCTTATATACCCTGAGTAAATAGTGCCTTGACACAAACCCTGCAATTACCTCGAAACATATTTTGTATTTCAATTCCATTGCATGTGTCTGTAACCTTTCCCTCACACAGGCTCAATATGGAGGTACATAATAAATTAACTAAAAAAAAAAGTTTATCAAACCATAATAATGCAGTAATATCGACTGATGGACTTGAGAACAATAGCGAAATATGTGAGAACACGAGCACCCACTGGCACAAGATTTCAGTTACTACAAACTGGTGTTTTCGGTAAGCCAGTGTGACACAATCAATCTAGTACCTTGTTCTTAAGGTGACTGAGAGTAAGTCAGCCACGGGAGAGAGAGAGAGAGAAGAGAGGAGGGCGGACCTCTCACTCGCTACAGTGACGACTTTTTCACTAACCGCTCAAGGCTCAAGCTGTGATGCTTCTCCCGGCAGCGCTCTCGCTACGCCCCGCTGCCAGACTCACGATTAGACTTCCTTTCTCGCCTCTTTCCTATAATAATAATAATAATAATATCATGAATTATACTAATAACAATAAAAATATATGAATTAAAAATACAAGTATTGTTCCACTTTATTGGGAAATTTTCGGCACTTAATGATAAAACTCTTAACAAAAATGCAGTACTTAGGTATACAGGTGTTGTATCGGCATGTTTTAGGGAACTGTATCGTTGTTACGATGTATTCACGAGGAGGTGTACATCATTTCTCGGTGTACCGCCAGAGTTTAGTGACTGTACTCTAGTCGGGTACTAGATTGTCACTAGGCTCTTGCGCCGGCAGGCCGTGTGTCTCACAATTTAGATTAGTTTACTATCGAGACAATACTTATTCTAACATTTTCTATGGTTGCACACATGTTTGTTTACTACAGCTACAGCTGTACACGTGTTCACTACAACTGTACATGTGTTCACTCCAGCTACAGCTGTACACGTGTTCACTCCAGCCACAGCTGTACACGTGTTCACTCCAGCTACAGCTGTACACGTGTTCACTCCAGCTACAGCTGTACACGTGTTCACTCCAGCTACAACTGTACACGTGTTCACTCCAGCTACAGCTGTATATGTGTTCACTCCAGCTACAGCTGTACACGCGTTCACTACAGCTGTACATGTGTTCACTCCAGCTACAGCTGTACATGTGTTCACTCCAGCTACAGCTGTACACGTGTTCACTCCAGCTACAGCTGTACACGTGTTCACTCCAGCCACAGCTGTACACGTGTTCACTCCAGCTACAGCTGTACATGTGTTCACTCCAGCTACAGCTGTACAAGTGTTCACTCCAGCTACAGCTGTACACGTGTTCACTCCAGCTACAGCTGTACATGTGTTCACTCCAGCTACAGCTGTACATGTGTTCACTCCAGCTACAGCTGTACACGTGTTCACTCCAGCTACAGCTGTACACGTGTTCACTCCAGCTACAACTGTACACGTGTTCACTCCAGCTACAACTGTACACGTGTTCACTCCAGCTACAACTGTACACGTGTTCACTCCAGCTACAGCTGTACATGTGTTCACTCCAGCTACAGCTGTACATGTGTTCACTCCAGCTACAGCTGTACATGTGTTCACTCCAGCTACAGCTGTACATGTGTTCACTCCAGCTACAGCTGTACATGTGTTCACTCCAGCTACAGCTGTACATGTGTTCACTCCAGCTACAGCTGTACATGTGTTCACTCCAGCTACAGCTGTACACGTGTTCACTCCAGCTACAGCTGTACACGTGTTCACTCCAGCTACAGCTGTACACGTGTTCACTCCAGCTGTACACGTGTTCACTCCAGCTACAACTGTACACGTGTTCACTCCAGCTACAGCTGTACACGTGTTCACTCCAGCTACAGCTGTACATGTGTTCACTCCAGCTACAGCTGTACATGTGTTCACTCCAGCTACAGCTGTACATGTGTTCACTCCAGCTACAGCTGTACATGTGTTCACTCCAGCTACAGCTGTACATGTGTTCACTCCAGCCACAGCTGTACAAGTGTTCACTCCAGCTACAGCTGTACAAGTGTTCACTCCAGCTGTGGCTGGAGTGAACAGCTACAACTGTTCAACAGCTCACTCCAGTCACCACTGTAATGAACTCAAATGGTAATTCATGTTTCGTTTTTGGTTTGATCTATTAATGTTTTTGGTTCTAGTATTTATTAGTACACAACAAAGTGATACTTTGAGGCAGCTTCTGGTTGACTCTTCACCGGATGCAACTTCACAACAGTTGACTAACAATTGTTGTGGCTTACTGCTAGGTGAACAGAAGTATTAGGTGAAAGGAAACGAACCTAACCATTTCTGTTGGGATTCGTGAACGAGGGTCGGGAATCAAACAATAGCGCCCCTCATGGAGTGTTATTTCCGTGTGCAGATTTGTAACCAGTCTCTCTAATATTTTCCAAGAGTAAATTATTATATATCTCACCCGTCTGTACCCTAGAGAATACTTTAAAATTTTAAGCAGATCCAATAATTTAGAAGTGTTTTTGAGTGAATTCTAGCATTTATTTATTTATTTATTTATTTATTTATTTATTTATTTATATACAAGAAGGTACATTGGGTTTGTGAGGATACATAGCATAGTATTGACAATCTTGTAAAGCCACTAGTACACGCAGCGTTTCGGGCAGGCCCTTAATCTAACAGATAATTTTAAGTAGGTAAATTCTAGCAGTAAACGACCTTTGAACATTCCCAACTTCTCCAGCTTTGAATGGAGATTACACACAGAAATCACAATAGCATGATGCATCAAAATGAACAAATCCACAAGGGCCGTGATGAGGGTTCGAATCTACGTCTGAGAGCATCCCAGACGCGCCTTAATCGACTATGCCACGACATGGTTAAAAGAATTGCAACCGGGAGATCTACTGACCTTACACGGATCCTGCAGTCTCTCTGGGACATAAACCAGGGTTTTACACAATTCCCCCATGCACTCGAGCTATGTCAATAGGTCAATTCTTTTGACCATGTCGTCTGGGATCCTCTCGGAAGCAGGTTCGAACCCTCATCACGGCCCTTGTGGATTTGTTCATTTAAATGGGGATTATACTATGCAACAATATTCCACTCTAGAGAGCACTTGAAGAATATTGTCATTGGCATGGCAACCCTGGTTTAATAGTTCTTATTTTCAATCCTATCTTTTTCTTGCAGTTATGACAGCGACTTTATTCTGTTCTTTAAAAGTAAGGTTTTCCGACATGATTATTTCCAAATGTTTTATATTGCTCTTTCGTTCTATAGTGTGATTTGACTACGTTTTATACGTGGTTTATTCCATTTTTATATTCTCGTTTTTTTCCATACCGCAGGAATTGGAATTTAACTTAATTAAACATATTAAGTTCTGTAGCCCATTAAAAGACCTGATTAACCTTGAAAGAGCTGCTTGGAGGGAGGGGGATGAAGGTAAGGTGTTAGGGAGGGAGGGTAGCTTTGGGGGGGGGGGGAGTAGGGAGGGAGGGAAGGTTTGCACCTGAAGGGCTTGACCCATGGTGTGTGTGTGTCAACGCCCTTCACACTGCAGTAACCAACAGAACACAAGTGCCACAGCACTACAGTGAGTCTACAGAGGCTCTACAACACTTCAGTGGTGCTATATCACTACAGTGGCTCTACTGTCTTACATTGACTACCGTGCTCCTAAACTAACAGTTCTTCCTCGGAGATTGTGTCGAAGTCCCCGTGACGACGCCTCTACCCCCATCATCACCACCATTAAACTGATCTTTTTTTTTAAGTGTTTCTGGACAAAATCATCTAAACACTAAATATATACACAACAAAGAATGTGTCTATCATGAACGGAACTTCCCTGTGATTAACAGGGCCAAACTGAGATTCTTTGATATGGTGATCTAATTACTTTATCAATATGGCACTAGAAAAAGGAGAAACGATTTATATATATACAGAATGTCCATAGAAATGCCCTAACTAAAGATCCTTTTCTGTATTATAATGTTCATAAGAATTAAAATAATAATAAAAAACACTTTTTGAAACACCCACAAAAGGATCAGAAACTCTATACAGAATTCGAAACTGCATACAAGTGCTTAAGAAGAAAATGAAAAGGCAGTGAACTGTATATTGTTGGTATAATTATAACTAGACACAGATAACATGTGTCTAACTTTAATTTACACAGGTAAATTAACACAGGAATACACAGGTAAATTAATTTACACAGGTAAATTAACACAGGAATAATTTAACTGGATAAAAAATGTTGGGTTTGGTGTTGCATTTCATTCCGGTGCCCTCTTGAAGGATAAGTTAAACTAACCCTTAAATTGGCATGAGAAAATAGGCTCGATCACTCTCCTAGTCACCTAGTGTCTTTCAGGGATAGTTATACTCCATTAGTGTCTTATAGGTACACAGGTTACACTATTCTCTTAGTTTCTTATGGGTAGATAAGCCGCTGTTCGCCTAACACCCGGTGGAATAGGCTACACTTTCTTGTACATTGTAATAAGTTAATATACTTTTTTAGCAGCTTGGATTTTTTTAGCAGCTTGGATTTTACTTCTGTTGCCTTTATATATAAATTTTATTATAATAGCTGTTATTGCCCATCCATGAAATTCTTGGTTGTTACAAAATTTCATACAAACAATAACGGGCTATAAATTCTTGGACAAAATTTAGTAGGAAATTGCAACTTTGTGTCAGGAGAGGTGGACAGAGACTTGTGTCGGCTTCTGTGAGGTAATTTTGTAATATTTTCTGTGGTAAAGTGTTCTGTAATGGATCGATACTCATGAATTATTATCAAACCAAGGTAGACTCTCTTTGTTAAGGTTAGAATACCTTCGTTCAACACGGCCGAGAGAAGGAACAAATTTCTGCAGCTCTCGGTGCATTTGTATGGCTTGTCTTCTGGATAATCAATACTGTAATCATTCAGGTACATATTTACCAAGTGATGGCTTTTAAATCTAAAAGTCTAGACGATATATATTATTAAACTAATTATCTTTTTTTGAGGGGGCTTTTATTCCTATGAAATTTTGTTTCATATTATTTTTGTAACAGCGATACCTGATGAACAAATTGGCGTATTAACCAGGGATTTGTTTTAGTTATTCGGCGTTTTGTGGTCTAAAAGAGTGCGTGATGGCTCAGAGAACTCTGGCAGACGCCCGAGGACTCGTGCTGGGTTGGGGCCCCAAGAAAGGCGAGGACGCGCCCTTTCTTCAGCGCCTGTGGCCCGTCGTTCTGGCCGCTGCTGGAGCCGGGAACGGCCTTACAGTAAACGCCAAAATGCTGGAAACTCTTCTTGCTGGATGTGCCAGAGACTGTTTGAACTCCCGAAAACGACGAGACGAGTTAGTGGCGGCTTTCACTCCTATGCTGGAGGCTTCCTGTGACCCGGCTGGAGCAGCTGCTGTCCTCATCGACGCCACGCTAGAGTACCACAGCCACCATCTTGATACCAACGGCGGAGTCTGTAAACTGGGGAAATTCCACAACATTTTGTACGTGACGGCGTCTGTGGCTGTGGAGCAAGAGGTGCGGGACTCCCAGGCTGTGACTCGTCTCCTGCGGGCGCTGCACCTCTGTGAAGGCGGGCTGGACCGCCTGGTGACCCCGGCTGTGCTAGGACCCAAGGTGTCTCACCTTCTCAGCTCCTGGCGCTGCGATACGGACACGCCCGAGGAGGCCCGACATCGTCTTCAGTTTTTCATGAACCACGCGCGATCCACACGACTGTTGCTGCCTAGAGCAAGGGGTCCTCCGGTACCGCTCGTCGACGCCCCGCTGCCTTCACTTCAGGGCGCCTCGCCGCTCTACATGGCTGTCCAGGCCACTGACGAAGATGCTGTTTTGCTGCTTCTGCAGAACGGCGCCACACCTTTCCTCGGCGGCCAATTTTGTCCGTTCCTGCTAGTGCTGCGGCGTCTGTCTAGCCACGCCCGGGCCGTCATTGGACAGATGCCGCCATGTTCTTGTCCAGAGCAGTTGTTCCGAGAGCAGCTGTCTCCTAAACAGCTGTACCTAGAACAGCTTTGTTCATGCCGCCTCCAGCACCCTATCCAGTACCCGCCGGAGGCCCTGGCGGTGCTACGCCTCCTGCTGCGGGCTGTAGGGGCGCGGCGGGTGGATAGAGACCCGGAAATTATCCACCTGCGCCTTCTGCAAGACGGGCTGCTGGGGGGTCCGCCGCCCCTGAAGCACTGGGCGAGGTACAGTGTGCGCACGGCGCTGCGCAGGGCGTGGACACTCCCTCAGGCCACCTCCTCTCTTGGCCTTCCTCTGTCACTCGTCGCCTACCTCGACCTGTGCCTGGATTGACCCCGTTGAGCACCGCTATCTAGTTGAATGCCTGCAGGTCGGCGTTCAATCCCTGATGGTCTAAGTGGTTGGGCACCCTTCCTCCCCCCCTTTCCATCCCAAATCCTTATCCTGACCTCTTCCAAGTGCTATATAGTAGTAATGGCTTGGCGCTTTCACCCTTGAAAATTCCTTCCTTCCTTCGCCCTCACTTTCTGAACGTTCCTTCCTCACGTGGTGAGCACGCCAGAACGCCAAGATGTAGACGCCAGGTTCAGCTCTAAGCCTGAATGTCGGCGACCAGGGACAATATCACGTCCAACGAGACACCAGGGACATTATCACGTCCAACGAGACACCAGGGACAGTATCACGTCCAACGTGACTCCAGGGACCACGTCCAACGGATCACGAAAGATAGCACCAGTTCCAATAAAAGAAATTATATATCTGTAAAAAAAATATACACGTAGAACACATATATTTAGCTCAAATATAAATAATGTATTTCCTTACCCACCGAGCTTTATTTAAAACTTTAAATTTGTGTCATAAACTTGATATTTTAAAGCTAGACTATGTCTCTAATTATAGAAATTCATTTTGGGCTCAAAAAACTCACAGGACATATAATCACTGCCATTAAAACTGTGGATTGAACTAGCTGTGTTGAGAGATAGAAAATTAAAAATATAGTAAAGAAAAAGACAAGAATAGAGAGGAGAGAAAGGTAATAGAAGATAGAGCTGCTTAAGAAGTTACACAGAATAAGTAGTTTTGAAGAATTAATTTAGTTCATCATGAGCCAGACCGTCCTCCTATATGGTTTCCCAACGTTAAGAAATAGTCGTACTACAGTCTCCGTGGTGTAGTGGTAAGACACTCGCCTGGCGTTCCGCGAGCGCTATGTCATGGGTTCGTATCCTGGCCGGGGGGGATTTACTGGGCGCAATTCCTTAACTGTAGCCTCTGTTTAACGCAACAGTAAAATGTGTACTTGGATGAAAAAACGATTCTTCGCGGCAGGGGATCGTATTCCAGGGACCATAGGATTAAGGACTTGCCCGAAACGCTACGCGTACTAGTGGCTGTACAAGAATGTAACAACTCTTGTATATATCTCAAAAAAAAAAAAAAAAAAAAAAAGTGCTCTCTCCTAGCCTACCAAGAGGACCCAAAAGAGAAAATGGGACAGTTTTCTATTTTGGGTCTGGTAGGACCAAAACATTTCGCGAGTCGCTACTATTTTCCACTACGACGATTTTTGGCCCATGATTTTGGATTTTTTACTGGTTAAAACACAATAGCGGAAAAGTTACAAGTCAAAGTAATACTATGCTCAGGAACTCAGGTTGATATTCGTTTATATGATCATATTGCAGCATAGATTAACTAATTCAAACTTTTCTTTTGAAAAGTTTAATGAACTAATTAAATCCTGTGAGCCGTAGCGCAAAAAAGGATTGCAGAATGCACGAAAGGTCTTTATCAGACCCCAACGGAGATTATTACATTAACAATTTTATCTATACATCAAGTGGATAGGTGGGGGGTGGAGGCCTGGTCGAGGACCGGGCCGCGGGGACACTAAAGCCCCGAAATCATCTCAAGATAACCTCAAGATAAGATCATACCTTATAATTACGATGTCAGCTAGTTACAGAGAATGCTCTCTTTCAAGAGATATATATTCACAGTAAATCATGAGAAAGAAAGGACATAAGAGGAGGAATATCAAGGATTCCAACGAAGGCCAAGTGACCCACAGAGCCACTGAGGAAGCAAGATATTGGATCATCTCGAAAATCTGTACATTCTTCAATCGACCTGAGAATGGTCCAGGACGGACCGAAACGTCGTCGTCCCTTCACCTTCTAGTGTGTGGTCTGGTCAACTTACTTTAGCCACGTTATTGTGACTCATCACCTGCATTCTTCAGATGTATCATGATGATGAGGTCTTTATCAGACCTCATCATAGATTATTAGAGTACCTGTAGAACCAGTTCTCTCAGTGGTTCCAGCAGGGTAGGTTAGGTTAGGGGTAACATCTGAATCGTCTATGAAAGATTTAAGAAAAAAAAAACGGAAATCAAATATTTATATTTTTTATTGAAATATGTTTTTCATTCGATTTAGGTGTTTGTATTGTGACTTACTATTTTGAATGTATATTAAATGTTTACAGACCGTAAAGGAAATTAAATGTGTAACATTACATAAAGTTCGAGATATTACATCTACAGTAGTGAATAAATAAGGCACATTTGCTCTATACTTCAATTCAGAAATTATAAGTTTAATCTAAACAAAAACTAATGGCTAAGAAAAACATTCAGGATATAAGAAGGTAAAAAGTCTAAACATTCACATGTGTAGCCTCTTTAAGCAGCTCTGTTAGTCAATATCAAGTCTCAGGTGCAAGGGAAGATACATTACTAACCTACCATCTCATAACTATCACTAATAGTTAAAACAAATCAATAATTATTACAAGAAGGCGTCAAGCAATGTAGTCTACGTAGCGCCGTATCACTGGAAAATGAAGAGGCTCTGGCATCTTGAGCTCACTCAAGATACCAATATGAGAACGAAAGGACATAAGACGAGCAATATCAAGGATTCTAACGAGGGACAAATGACCCACAGAGCCATTGGGTAACTACTCTCATCACTTGTACTGCTAGAAACACCTATCTACCCCTAATACTTAGGGGTAGATAGGTGTTTGGTGTTTCCAGCAGTACTACTCTCACTCGTATGACTTCGTAACTGTTGATACAACTTGCACTCCGAGGTCTGCCATTGCTAATTCCTCTGTGCATTGAAGGTCAGAACAGTAATTAGTGCTGACATGGGAGCATTGTCTTAATCTGGTGATTAATCATGTGCAAGCCATTATGACTTGAAGATATATAGTTTGTCTCATCTAAAACAATATTAATGCATTTATATTTGGTCCTAAAAGCTGAGGTCTTGTTCAAACCTTGCCTCTATTAACATCCTGTAAGAAGCAAAAAATACAATACTGTATTTTTTTCTTAATTTAAATCTATAACCTAGTCTGCTTTCTTACTTTGCAATAGGATTGTTCAACTCTCCATTTGCCTTTCCTGCCAGCACTATTCTGAGTTACAGATTCAATATCTATCACTTTTTCCCGCTTTCAAATTTCCTTTTGTCCTCTTTCTAATGCACTATAATTTCCTTGTCCTTAATCCATTTCTTCAACTGCTTCAATTACATGTCATTCCCATTTTCCTCCAACACATACAAGTCTTATTTTAACATATAAATATACAAATTAAACTCTAGTGCAGTGATCGACACAGTCAACTGGTTTAGGGAATGACCTCGGCTTCTTTGTCAATCTTTACGGCAGCGTTTGTGCCATTCGTGCCATCTGTTGAAGCTCCCAGCTGCTTGGTGAAGTCCACCACAGTGTTGGCGAAGTTGTTTGCGCCGTTCGCCACCTGAAAGATTGTTACCAGCTGAAATAGCATAATTATTTTTCATTAGTTTTTATTCAATTGCAATTTTGACTGATAAGATAGATCTTGGATATAAGGAAATATTCACGTTTACGTTGAGAATAAGTCACAATGTGGCTGGAGCAAATAGCCTAACACACACACACTCAAACACACACACACACTCAAACACACACACACATGGGTTGGGCTACTCAAACTTCACTATGGTATTGTAGGAGATGGTAGTAGTAGTACGTTAATAACATCGGGTTATGCAGGGTGTTATGCTACACCTGTTTTGATAACACTTGGCTCACGTTGTAAAACATTACACATGTTCGTAATATCAAGTCAAACTTGGCATTACAAACCAAACATTTTTACGAACCTTTCCATGTGGCTACGATTTGAGTCACAAAACAAGAATAAAAATGTTCATTATCCATTTTAATTCCCGTTGTCAGGGACAGGAAGCCTGTAGCTATGCTTATCGATGCTCCCCTTCGCCAATTATCCACCTTTTTTAATATCTAACCCCACAAAAGTTGCCTAAAGAGAAAATCAATAGGAGCCATGAGAAGGATTCGACCCTGCACACACTAGGTGCTCCCAAATACACGTGTAGTAGTTGCCTAACTCCCGGAGGCCCATTTATTGCTAGGTGAACAGATGTATCAGGTAAAAGGAAAACTTGGCCACCTCGGGGATTGAACCTGTGTCCTCTCGGTTGTAAGCTGAGTACGTATACCGTGCTTGACGTGTTATCAATTCTTTGTGTTTACAGGGACATAGAGACTTACGTACATATACCATCTCATTGCTTTCTCTCCCAGTTAATATTGTACACATGGTTCAAATTATTATGCCATCTAAATTAATACCTTAAAGAACCATATGTGGAAGCATCTTTTGCAAATGTGCAGAATGATTTATCTTAATTTAATATGGATATATATATATATGTACAACACTAAATGAGCAAGGTTAAGGATGCAATATATTGTATAATATTATGTACATTTCATCTGCTAAATTTACATACATTCTGCTGCGATTTGTAGATACGCTAAATTATCTATTAACACAAAGATTAAACAGACTGTTGACGTGATATGCTTACAAATTGTCTTAACTTTGCTGAATTTTGTGGTTCAGCTCCTGACCACATCCTGTGCATTTTCCACTGTAGCTCACAGGATGGGTATGCGGTGCATAATAAATTAGCCAAAAATTAAAATGATAATTTCGAGTAAAAATAGAATTGAATGTAATTAAACTCCACTTGTTGTGTTAAACCCTCATGCAGCGGCTTCATCAATTGGGAATTTCATCAATTCATCAATTACATTGACCAATGCATTAGAGCTACTCGTGACAAAAACAACTCTGATGACTTTCTAAAAGTCTACCTAACACACGGCCTGATTATGGTGTCCTAGCGGAGGCGAGGGAAGCACAGGAATCGTATATTAATCTGTAGCAAAGAAAACTGCACGGAAAGTTAAAACACCATCTAAACGATTCACCACTCGTAGAGACAACGAATGAAATCATATTGTATACATGTCGACCAATAATTGGCCACAGGTGACAACCTTTCGACGACCACCACCACCAGGTGGCAGACCAGGTCATCAAGGATCGCCTGCCAGAGACACCTTTGCTAACCAGCTGCCAAATTCAAAACAACCCCACAGGAAAGAAGAGAATGAAAAGCCACAAAGGATTCCACACAAAGTGACGTCTCATTACGTAGATGAGTCACAATAACGTGGCTGAGGATATGGTGACCAAACCACAACTCAGAAGATGGAGAAGCGATGACGTTTCGGTCCGTCCTGGACCATTCTCAAGTCGATTGTGTAACTTGACAATGGTCCAGGACGGACCGAAACGTCACCGTCCCTTCACCTTCTAGTGCGTGGTCTGGTCAACATACTTTAGCCACGTTATTGTGACTCATCGCCTGCAAAAGTATACGTTTTTCCTGAAATGTACAAACTTGAAATAAATACAATTGGACTGGGATGTCCAGTGAGAAAACAGACACGAGAACAGGACCCGGGGAAGAGAAGGAGACCTAACGCCGAGTCCCCTTTCCAAATGTAATACAAGCAGAGCAGGAAAGTTGCACACCCAAAGGTTAATCAATCACCGTGATCTAGTTGGACAGCCAAAATCCTCCAGCCCGTATATCTGTCATTGACACTTCCCGCCAAACACACACCGAAACTACGACGTTGGTACAACGTTCGAACAAGTTTTAACACCTCCTAACCAGTTATAACAACCAATATATCAAGTTGTAACAACGTTCTAATACGTCATAAACACGTTAAGCCAAGATGTAACAACTTTATTACAAGTTGTAACAAGCGGAAAATAGAGACAGTTTCGGTTTGTGTTTCTAGGGTTGGTATTAGGACACAAAAACGCAAGTGCCACATACATCCGACTATCACAAGTTCATTGGGGGGGAATAGGCAAGCAAAAGTTACGATATCCTGAATGACCTGGGCCGGGATTCAACAAGCATTTACGCAACTATTTACGAACCTGCACATCTTTTCTCGATCTTTGGCGACTTTGTTTGCATTTATTCAACAGTTTACGAGCATCGAGCAAACTTATTCAGTTAACTATTATGATAAGCTATTCTGACCTAGTTCGTTCCTTCACATTTCAAAATTAGGCCGTACACTGTAGCGTGAACCAATTATGGTTAAGGTAAAGTTTGTAAAATGAAGGTTATTCACATAAAGGATCATTTTATGCAACTTATACTATACGGTAATATACAGCACTTAGTCACCTACCTGAGTTGCAATGGTCTGGAAGTTTTCAGATGCACCACTTATCAACTTTTTGAAAGTATTTTCATCAATGTTGATGTTGAGGTCAGAATCCTCACGACGGATACACACAGAATGGTCAATCTTGTCAAAGTGTTTAGGGTCGACGTTGAAGCTCTGCAGAAGCTGTTTGATCTATGGAACACAACGATAAAAAAGTAAAAAGGTTTCAACCCTTTTTACCCTGTCGTAGCTCAGTCGATTAAGGCAGTGTCTGGGATGCTCCCGGACGCAGGTTCGAATCCTCGTCACGGCCCTTGTGGATTTGTTCATTTAACACAACAATATATTACAAATAGCCCACGGGAGACATCTCCCGTCACGCAGGGTGCAGTCGCACCTCCACAGATCTCCAGTATCATCTATTGATACTCGTAATGGCTCAAAAGGGCCACCACTTACGGGCTATTCATGCCCGTGCCACCTTTTGGGTGGCTTAATCTTCATCAATCAATTATTACAAATAGAAAAAACGTACAAATTAACAAATCGACAAGGGCCGTGACGAGGATTCGAACCTACGTCTGTGAGCATCCCAGTCGCTGCCTTAATTGACTGAGCTACGACATGGTAAAGAAAAAAACGTATATACTATGGAAACGTTCATGTTATCACAAGAGCTTATTTTTTCCCCCTTCTGTTTAACAGGAGAGGTAATATTACTTCAAATAGTAAAGAAACGTTTATAGCAATTGGTCGTGAGCATACCGGGAAAAATAATACTGTTGCATCGTATAATATTTACTTTGATATCACGTTGCTGTGATTTCTTTATTAATGAGAAAATCCACAGGAGTCGTGATAAAGATTTGAACCTATGTGCAGGGTATTCAGAGCGTGCGTCTGGGAATACACAGCACATTGGATCGAATCATTATCACGGCTCCCGGTGAATTTTCTCGCTTATTTTGGTGCTAGAAAACAGTATTAATGAAAATAAATAATGCAGGGATATGCAAGTTCAGGAAACAGTGATCATGAGAAAGGGTTCAACACTTGCAAGAAATTCTGACTGAAAAACCTTTCATTATATATTTTCTTAAATTTGTTCACTATTTGAAACGAACACATTTTTTCTCAATAGATATAAAGTAAGAATTGTGCTTATCAAACATATTTTTAACGACATTTTCAAAATAGCTAAATTTACATGCCCAAAAGGTAGAGAATTTCAGGCAAAATTATATAAGCCTACAAATATTACAAACACAACCCATTCTCCGAGTAGACAGTACGTTTTAATACTAAATGTAATAAGTACATTCCTGACTGTCTGTATAGTACATAAATACACTTAATTGTGCTGTTACATTTGCCTCCCCATATATTCTAATTTTGTGTTAATACACTCAAAGTTTTTAGGTTGAAGTTTTCGTGTAAACTATTTGCACAAGTTTTAATATAAAGAATTTATTTTTCAGTGTTATTAAACAATAGAGATTTTATACAAAATGTGAAAATATCCTGAGTTTATTTAATGACTATCATTTATTGAAAGACTTTAGTTTTGTTTTATTAGTTTTATATAATTGTAATATCAATATAGCTATAGGTTAAGTACTAATTGTAATTAAGAAGCAATAAATGCTATTTGCATGCTTGTCCTCCTATACTCTCAAGGTTAGGTTAGGTCGTGGTTTTCTATACAGCTTTTCCGGTAAATTCTAATATTCACAATATTTTGGTGCGATGCTGGCGATTAAGTATATTTATGCACTATGCCGACAGTCCGAATTGTACTTATTACATTTAGTATTAAAACGTACTATCTATTCGGAGTATGGACTGTACAAAAAATAAATAGCTAACCAAAACATATTTCTAAAAAATCTTATATTTTAATAATAAGAAAACCTTAATTTGAAACTACAGGTCCATCATATAAATAAATTTAGTTAAGTTTCATAAATTAAATAAATACAAAAGATGTTAGGGCTTAAATGAGCGCCATTATGCATTGGCCAATAACCATTTTGCAGTTTCCTTATAGACATGAATTCTGGCACGTCACGATTTAATTTTATACATAACTAAAAACTAGCACTGACCTTTGATATAGTTTCTGCAGGGAGGGAAGGAGTTCTGGAGAGAATGGCGGCTGAATACCGGTTCATTAGGCTCGTAATCTGCTGACAGTCGAAGATGGCGGCGTATGTCTGGCCATCAGTGTCAAACACAACGTAGTCTGACTTGCCTGCAATATCTACGAGGGAAGGTGAAGAGGCACATGTATAAATATGGCAAAATATAATAATATACAAACGATGAGGCACAATACCGTGGCTGAAGTATGTTGACCGGACCACACACTAGAAGGTGAAGGGACGACGACGTTTCGGTCCGTCCTGGACCATTCTCACAATCGACTTGAAAATGGTCCAGGACGGACTGAAACGTCGTCGTCCCCTCATTTTCTAGTGTGTGTGGATTAGTCAACATAATAATTTATCTAAATTCCTAAGTACATGCGGAAAAACCACAATGAAATGGGAAAGAGAGGTGAACGTTTCGGCCTGTTAGAGCCTTTGTCAACACCAGACAGGCTCTAACAGGCCGAAACGTTCACCTCTCTTTCCCATTTCTTTGTGGTTTTTCCGCATACAAATGATCAGTGTTTAGTGATCGTCAATTGCTCCTAAGTACATATATGAGAATAGAGAAATATCAGGCAAATCTAAGTTATCAAACCTAAGTTATCAGACTCACTCATGGGCCACTTGGCACGCATCTTGGCAGGCTTGTCACCATCGGGGATGTCGAGGGTGCCGGTGTAGGAGTTGGTGTGCTCGATGCTTAGGGAGTCGAGCAGAACCAGTTGACGCGACTTGGTAACTTTGAGCTGTGTTGGGGAGACTCGCGTGTAGTTCATGGTCAGACAGGTGGAGGTGGTGTCGAATTGTTCCACCACGTACCACTGGTTCAGGAACTGTCAGACACACGAATATTAATAGACTCTTAATTGGCCACTTGAGAATTTATTTTCACAAAAATTTCTCTAAATAAGTACATGCTATTTTTCCCACTTACACAAGGGTAATACAGATTAATTTTAACTACGTACTTATAGAAGTCAAATGCCTATTCCTATAGCTATTAATCCAATGAATAATTTATTTTCAAGTAAATTCAAATGGTTGAATAACCCGTAACTAGTGCTTCAGTGCTTGAATTCTTGCGTCAAAGTTATCTATTCATGATAAATGACCCACAGATTCGATAGATGAAATTTTGTCTTAAATACATTGGCTCATTCTCAATTAATAATGATAAATTGTCAACAAGTGAATTATAAATCATCTTGTGTGTGTTTATATACAATATACCGTTGTTCATTACACATGTGACAAGGTAAATATACATCTCACGTTCTTATCCTTACACAGGTAGGTAAGATATCTACACAGGTAGATATCTTGTACTGCTCGATCCATGCACAATTCCTGTTTATAGACGCACAATTCCTGTTTATATATGCACACTTCCTGTTCATAGACGCACACTTCCTGTTCATAGATACACAGGAAGAGTGTCTATGAACTATGAAATGAACAGAACACCCATCCTGTTCATCCACCTCGACATTTTCAGCTTATCATCCCCAATTTCCTCTTCGACACGCCTATCCATTGACTAAATATTAAACAGTTTCAAGTACTGTGCTCTGTTCTATAGAAGTCAACACATTTTTGTTTTATAACATTTCCTGAAGACAAGCTTCCTTGTGAATCTTCAAATCTATAAATATTTTAAGGCAATGACAATTACCTATTCTGCCGAGTTCCAAGTCCATATAAACAGCACTGCATCTTTAATACGAAGCAGGTGGAGGAAAAAAAAAGATTCAATGAGACTGCGAAGCAACAGAATGAGTTGGGAGATGCAGGGAAGTGACTCATTACTCACTCCTGGCCCGCTCTCTCTCACTCTCTGCTCATACGAACACACTCTCTAAAGGCCGCTCCTAACATGCAATCGGTCCTCATTTCCTGTGAAGGGCTCATGAAACTACCGCCATCATAAAATACCCGGCCACACATCACCACCACCACCAGCAGCCTTTCATCGCCAGCTCTACGCCTCAGTTGTAAAGATAAAAAGAAGATGGTGTCGCAGCACGCATATAAGTTACAGCTCCTGTGCCGGGTAAGTCCACAACGGGCTCACCATAGCCCGTGATATTTGCAACTTTTAGTTCCGAGTAGCTGAAAAAACAACAACAACAGCACGCATGGGGGTTAGGAAGGACTCCCAAGGTGACCGCCACACTATCCTGCAACTTATGACACATCCCTTCCCATCCCTCTCTAGGTTGCGTGGAGGGTTGGTGGCTGAGTTGCAGTATGGAGTAGGATAGCGTGCATGGGGGGTGGATGGTGACTCAGTCGCACGATGTTGGAGAGTGAGGGATTATTGCGTCACATCGTTCAGGAAGGGAGGACGATTTGGCCGTCACAACGTGCATGGGGTGGAATGGTATGTTATTTTTTTGTCAACAGGTGGACTTTGACCTCTGTTTGCAGGCAGAGAAGTTTCCTCAGGGGTTTGATGGGTACTAGCTTGCATGCTTTGATGGGTAGTAGCTTGTATGCTTTGATGGGTAGTAGCTTGCTTGTATCTTGAGGAGCCGGACTTAAGTGGGAAGCAGCGTACATGGGCGCGAGAAGTTTCTTCTCCCGTCCATTGATTTTTTGTTTATTTACAATCTTGTAAAGCCACTAACAATCTTAATTTTCCATGGAATACGACCTGCCAATTCGTTTAACAACCAGATATCCATTGACAGCTGGGTGAACAGAGGTGTACAGTTAAGGATTGGCGGCTAGTTAATCCTTCCCGGTCAGGATACGAACCCAGGCCAAATCGCTCGCGAAGCGCGAGTGAGTGAGAGAGCAGTCACCGTGGCGAACCACTCAGCCACGGTGACTGCTATATTATAGAAGAACAGTGTTACTGATGGGCTGTTCCGATGGCCCGGAAGGCAGCTGGGTGGGGCTTACAACGCCCCTCTTTTAGTCATAAAAAGTAACAATTTCAACCGTGCAGCTGTATCCAGTAGGTGGATACAGGAGCAGACTACTTCTGATTCCTGTTAACAGGCTTTGAATTTCCCTTACCATCTCCCATGGTTACTTGTGTAAAGGAGGAAATGTAGATGTTTATCTCTCAGAATGTTCGGTAATATGTTTATTGCTTGTGATGTGTGTCTATGTATGTATTAACACGGTGTACTGAACGGGGTGAGAATAGCTTGAGCTACCTCATCCCTTTGTGTGTATTTTACCTCAATAAACTTATTTCAATTTCAATTTCAATCTCCCATGGTATGTTTACCAACTTATTTTCCCCTGGAACACGGTCCACCAGTCAGTTTACAACCAGGTTCAAGTTCAAGTATGTTTATTGAGACAAGAAAGAAATACATCTCAAAGGGATAGAGTAGCTTAGACTATTTCTACCCCCCCCCCCCCCCTACAACCAGGTACCAAATTACTACTGGGTCAACAGTTAAGGATTGGCACCCAGCCAATCCCACTCGACCTCAAACCCAGAGCAAATCGCTGGTGAAACGCGGGTCGAGTTTGTTACCCTTGAGCCACTAAAGGATGAGCCCTGTGACCCTGCTGCGCCAGAGGTGAGTCCCATCCGGTTTGACCATACTGGGGCATATCCCCATGACTTGTTTTGTTTGTAAATGAATTAATTGTGTCAAGTATCTCACAGACTAGCACGTCGCTGCGGGAGAATAGACATTGCCTAAGCTACTCGATCCTTTTATTGAGAGGAAAGTATTTTGTTATCTTAACATGCTGGAATTTTAATGTCACCTCAAAAGGGAATTAGTGTTTAATACATGCCTGGTCGAGATTTAGGTTGGGTGTGGGGTCGACTCGCTGACAGGAGCCCCATCCCCACTTATGGGCAGACACCCCGACGGCTGCCACCACACACACCGCTACCAGTAGCCTCACCGCCATCATCCTCACCAGATCCACCTGTTGACAACCATAAGAAATTGAGTTACAGATTCAGTTAACAGTTGAATAAATGCTGACCAGACCACACACTAGAAGATGAAGGGACGACGACGTTTCGGTCCGTCCTGGACCATTCTCAAGTCGATTGTGACTTGAGAATGGTCCAGGATGGACCGAAACGTCGTCGTCTCTTCACTTTCTAGTTGATTTTGAGTAAACTAAGTCAATTATAAATTCGCAAAAATTGTGTAAGTTAACAAATACACATTAAGGTGTAAAGTTTGCATATTTCAATATTAATTTCAATTACTTTTACTACTACTGCTCATATATATTGATCAATATATGGGCAGTGGTAATATATAGATAAATATATATTACCATTGAAATTGTAAGCTAATTTTTTTGTTTATATTTACAAATGAAGCTAATTTTATACAACTGCTCAGTTCAGCCAAAATTATAACGGTATGTATAAGCTAAAGCGAATAGAACCTCACTTTTCTAATCTAAAAAGTTAATTTATTGTCAAGTTCCATATTTGAAAAATAGATACTATAGCGTCTTGTTACACTTAAATTCATAGCAAGTAAATAATAGATACGTTATATAATGTTCATAATACAATGTTCATTAGATATCGAACAAAATGTTCTAAAGAACAAAGCATTACCCCAGCCACCATGGTGGGGTGAGGGTTGACAGGTTGTTGTTAAAAATTCGCTACCTGGAGCAAAGTTCCAAGTAGCACGGGCTATGGTGAGCCCGTAATATGGGTTGACAGGGGGAAGGGCTAGAGATGGATGGATAACGAGGGTATAAGGTCAGGTAGGCGGATGAAACAGATAGGTTCCTGGCCTTGCCTCACCCTCACTGCTGACCGACAAGACCTACTCTTGAATTCCCATATATATTTTTTTTTTTTTTTTTTTTTTTTTTTTTGAGATATATACAAGAGTTGTTACATTCTTGTACAGCCACTAGTACGCGTAGCGTTTCGGGCAAGTCCTTAATCCTATGGTCCCTGGAATACGATCCCCTGCCGCGAAGAATCGTTTTTTCATCCAAGTACACATTTTACTGTTGCGTTAAACAGAGGCTACAGTTAAGGAATTGCGCCCAGTAAATCCTCCCCGGCCAGGATACGAACCCATGACATAGCGCTCGCGGAACGCCAGGCGAGTGTCTTACCACTACACCACGGAGCCTGTTAATATATATATATATATATATATATATATATATATATATATATATATATATATATATATATATATATATATATATATATATATATATATATATATATATATATATATATATATATATATATATATATATATATATATATATATATATATATATATATTTATCCAACATTTAGAAATGTTAAATTTCAGGACTAATAAAAAGGGCTAGATTCACGAAGCAGTTACGCAAGCACTTACGAACGTGTACATCTTTCCTCAATCTTTGACGGCTTTGGTTACATTTATTAAACAATTTACAAGCGTAAAACTTCCCAATCAACTGTTGTTATTGTTATGAAGAACCTACTAGTGCTTCGGAGCTCATTAACTGTTTAATAATTGTAAACAAAGCCGCCAAAGACTGAGAAAAGATGAACAGGTTCGTAAGTGCTTGCGTAACTGCTTCGTGAATCTGGCCCGCCATTACCATCGTCACGTGACGTAACTATCCATGACGTCAGGGACCGCGAAGCGCAAATCCTTGAAGCTGCTTCAACAAGGTCACTGGAATCATGCGTGCGTGAAACTGCTCTGACGCAAGCCTCAAGAACGTATTCACGTATCTGCCGTACACGTCACTTGGTACCCACGCGTAAGTCACCGCGCTCGTGTCTAACACATCGTACGACGTTATACTGCCGTACTCGTGTCATATACGACATCGTACGGCGTTACGCGTATCATAAAGGTTCATGGAGTGTTCCATTGGCTCAGTCGGAAGAATACCGTTGAGTTGATCTGATATAAGTTTAAGTTAAACCCGTGACGTAGCTGAATATTAGTCAATATAACGGCCAGAGGAGAGCACCGCCTCCCTACTGGTAGTGGTCCTGACCTCAATCCTGGCGCGGGTAACTGTACGGTAAAGCCGCCTCGCCCGCCTGACTGACTGGATGGGAGTGCTTGCCGCCTGCCTGACTGACTGGACGGAGTGCTAACTGACTGACTGACTGGACGGAGTGCTAGCCGCCTGACTGACTGACTGGGCAGAGTGCTAGCTGACTGACTGACTGGACAGAGTGCTAGCCGCCTGCCTGACTGACTGGACAGAGTGCTAGCCGCCTGACTGACTGGAAGGGATTGCTAGCCCCCTTGTTTGCCTGACTGGACATAAACGAATATTGTATATTTTAACAGATACAATTTCATCTTAGGGACCACAAGAGCTTACTAACAAGTATGCATACTAACCAACAAGTATGTATACTAACCAACATGTATACTAATCAACAAGAATGTAAAACCAAAAATTAGTATTTTTAACCTTCAATACTAAAAATAACCTCATGACTATACACCGAGAAATGGAGTGCATCTCTCCCTGTATATAATCCCGTTGTAGAATATTACCTTCAAGGACAACGAAGGAAAAAACAGTCTCGTAAAACACACAGAAGAACACACGTGCACCACCACTCACTGCTGAGCGAGGACTGACCCGCCGCCAGCCAGCCGCTGACTTATATAGGGTCTCCCTATGACTCTTGCTTCCGCCTACACCGTTTCTCATTTCCTTTTAATGGCGCCGTTTTCTCTTATTTTTTGTTGTTGACAAGACGTCAGCAGTGTAAAGGCAATATTTACAAGTGAAGTGGTATTAATAGCTTTTGGTTGTACATACTGGTTAACATTTGGAATGCATTAGGAAGTGCTAGTCCCGGAACTGAGAGGTATGAGCTACGAGGAAAGGCTAAAGGGGGCTAAATCTCACGTCCCTGGAAAACAGAAGAGTAAGGGGAGACATGATAATAGCCTACAAAAATCTCGGGAATTGACAGGTTGGACAAAGACAAACTCTTCATCACGGGTGGAGCACGAACAATGGAACACAGGTGGAAACTTAGTACCCAGATGAGCCACAGAGACGTTAGAAATATTTCTTCAGTGTCAGAGTAGTTAACAAATAGAATGCACTAGGAAGTGATGTGGTGGAGGCTGACTCCATACACAGTTTCAAATGTAGATATGATAGAGCCCAGTAGGCTCAGGAACCTGTACACCAGTTGAGAGGCGGGACCAAAGAGCCAGAGCTTAACCCCCGCAAGCACAACTAGGTGAGTACAACAACTAGGTAAGTACAGACAGATAGACAGATACACACACACAGAGGGGGGCCGGCCAGCCGAGCAGACAGCACTCTGGACATGTGATCCTGTGGTCCCGGGTTCGATCCCGACAGCCGGCGGAAAAACAAATGTACAGAGTTTCCTATACCCTGATGCTCCTGTTACCTAGCAGTAAATAGGTACCTGGGAGTCAGACAGCTGTCATGGGCTGCTTCCTAGGTGTGTGTGTGTGTGTGTGTGTGTGTGTGTGTGTGTGTGTGTGTGTGTGTGTGTGTGTGTGTGTGTGTGTGTGTGTGTGTGTGTGTGTGTGTGAAAAAAAATGTTAGTAACAGTTGATTGACAGTTGAGAGGCGGACCGAAAGATGAGAGCTCAACCCTCGCAAGCACAACTAGGTGAATACACACACACACACAGACAGGACGTGGTAACCAAACGGACGACGTTCCGGATTCGCAATCCACGGTCCCAGGTTCGATTCCCAGCCGAGGCAGAAGCAAATGGACGGTGTCTTCTCGCCTGATGCCTCTGTTCACCTAACAGTAGCTAGGTACTGGGGAGTTACCAGGAATTGTGGATTACATACTAGGAAAGGTCAGTCGTTGGCCTTCGGAGTACTTTTAATGCCTAACGGAGTTTCTGTGCCCTAGAATAAATTATAAAAAAAATAGATCAGACTTGTTTTCTATGTTTTTATAACTGAACTAACTAGTTTATTTGATTTGCCACTCCATAAAAAAAAAAAGAGTTCGAACCCAAGAACTTGGGGTGGACGGTAGAGCGACGGTCTCGCTTCATGCAGGTTGGCGTTCAATCCCTGACCATCCAAGTAGTTGGGTTACGGGCTATTCATGCCCGTGCCACCTCTTGGGTGGCTTAATCTTTATCAAGATTTATTTTATCATAGGCACTATTCCATCCCCCGTCCCATCCCAAATCCTTATACTGACCCCCTTCCAAGTGCTATATAGTCGTACAACCTGTTCTCGCACTTGCTTATAGTCAATATCTTGCTTATGAATAAGTGAATATGTCATATACTAATTTATTGTGAATATTTGAGTTTACCTTGAAAAGCTGAATAGAAAGTCACAACCTAACCTAACCTTCTTAGTATGTTAAGATATTACAATTAGTATTGAACCTATACCTATATTGATATTACAGTTTTATAAAAATAATAAAACAAAACTAAAATATTTAAATAAATTGTAAAGTAATTCAGGATATTGTCAATTTTTGTATAAATTTATTGTTTAATAAAACTGAGAGAAAAAGTTAGTGCCTTGAAAAAAAATAGAGTTTGGAATATGTGACATATATGCAGGCGATGAGTCACAATAACGTGGCTGAAGTATGATGACCAGACCACACACTAGAAATTGAAGAGACGACGACGTTTCGGTCCGTCCTGGACCATTCTCAAGTCGATTCTCAAGACAATCGACTTGAGAATGGTCCAGGACGGACCGAAACGTCGTCGTCTCTTCAATTTCTAGTGTGTGGTCTGGTCATCATGTGACATATATACTTCTTTATAAGCAAAATAGTAACGATAAGCAATAAGTCATATATGTGCGAGAGCAGGTTGCTGTAATGGCTTCGCGTTTCCCCCCGATAATTCCCTCTCCGTCACTGCAGGAATTTCTCGAGACAAACTTGGTGTTTCTCCCGGCGCTAATGACCTCCCGCCGGAACTGATGACTGCGCTGTCTTCTCAGAAACAATCATTTACGGCGGAAGGTTTTTATTGTTGAAGCAGAACAAGTCACATGCGGTTGATGTCAATATATCTTTATTTATTTATTTTGTTATTTTACCTGGAAAATGTAAGTGGTTATTTTATATATTTATTAATTTGTTTATATAATAGCATAAATTTATTATCCTATTTAAAATTGTTCAAGAACTATTAACTTATTCCGGAATAAGCACACTTTTTCCAATATTATTTAAAAAATTATTATAAATAGGAAAATAATATATATATATATATATATATATATATATATATATATATATATATATATATATATATATATATATATATATATATATATGACAATGTCAGACCACGAAGGAAAAATGAAACAGGAAATTTCCTTAAGTACTTTCGTATATTAAATACATCTTCAGAAGGTGTATTCACCTTCTGAAGGGGGAATTCACCTTCTGAAGATGTATTTAATATACGAAAGTACTTAAGGAAATTTCCTGTTTCATTTTTCCTTCGTGGTCTGACATTGTCACATTCTTAATCACGTGTTTATTTTCGTGATATACACACACATATATATATATATATATATATATATATATATATATATATATATATATATATATATATATATATATATATATATATATATATATATATATATATATATATATATTAGGGAAATCCGAATAGTTATAAATTATTACTCACTTGGCTAAAGAAAACGATGCAAATCTATTTTGGTGACACTAATGTATTTTGCTGACACTGATGTGATTTGGAAGCTTGATGTCCTCAGAGTTAATTACTATGAAAGATGATTACTTCGTGTGTAATGTTAATATTGCTGAGATAAATGTGTGGCTCTCTGTTGACTCTTATTGTGCTCAGGTTGCTCTGGTGCAATAATAATTTATGCTTCCTTAGTAAGAATGTGGCCATCAAAAAAGTCTTGGAATCATTGTTTTCTGATTTTTGTTTATTCATTATTATTTATGAACCAGCTGAGGTGCCCAGATACATCCTCACTCTGAACAATGCGCGCTGTAACATCCTCACTCTGCACAGTGCGCACTGTAACATCCTCACTCTGCACAATGCGCGCTGTAACATCTTCACTATGCACAGTGCGCGCTGTAACATCCTCACTCTGCACAGTGCGCACTGTAACATCCTCACTCTGAACAATGCGCGCTGTAACATCTTCACTATGCACAGTGTGCACTGTAACTGTCGTTCCTCACCATCCAGACTTCCCCAAGAATCTGAAAGTCTTGAAATGCATTTTCAGTCACCAACAGTGTGCAAAGCCTCATTCAAAACTGATTATATTTTGAGTATATCTTCACTATTGACGATCCCCAATAGTTGGGCAGTCGATTTTGTTTACTATAATGATCAATTATTAATCTCTGATTATCCCTATTATCATGCATAATATACATGTGTTTTGAAGAATATGCTTCTGTAACACGTAATATTTGTGTATATGTTGATGCTACGTTAACCCTCTGATTTTGTTCATTTATTATACGCCCTTCCTGTGGGCGTTAGTGGACCCCATATCCATCCTGTGGGTGAATTTAAGGATAAAGTTTTAAAGTTAAGTTTGCAATACACAAGTTTTATATATCAGGAATTTCTTTTTCAGTTTTATTAAACAATAGAGATTTTATACAAAATTTGAAAATATCCTGAGTTACTTTTCAATTTATTGAAATATTATAGTTTTGTTTTATAAAACTGTAATATCAACATAGCTATAGGTTAAATAGTAATTATAATTAAGAAGCAATAAAATGCTTATCTTCAAAAACTAAGATGGTTAGGTCGTGGTTTTCTATTCAGCTTTTCAGATAAACTCAAATATTTACAATGTATTTGACAGTACAATTTAATACTAAATGTAAATAAGTACAATTCCTGACTGACATACATAGTTACACTTATGGGGCTATTATATTTACCTCCCCTTTTTTGGAGGACGGGCTGGGGTGTTAGTGGATTCCATACCCATCCTGTGGGCGATAGTGGACCCCATACCCATCCTGTGGGCGATAGTGGACCCCATACCCATCCTGTGGGTGTTAGTGGACCCCATACCGATCCTCTGGGCGTTAGTGGACCCCATATCCATCCTGTGGGCGTTAGTGAACCCCATATCCATCCTGTGGGCGTTAGTGGACCCCATACCCATCCTGTGGGCGTTAGTGGACCCCCATACCCATCCTGTGGGCGTTAGTGGACCCCATACCCATCCCGAAGGCGGTGGTGGAAAACGTTACAGAGGCTCATAATAAACTCAGGAATTGAACCCCAAATTTTATTTAGCTAAGCAAGTAGCAATCTTGTGAAGTTAGTTACACAGTTTAATATATATATATATATATATATATATATATCAAGAGTCTTCTATATCACGAGTGGTTCAAGAAATGGGGCCACAACTGTACACAGAGGACTTTATATCTGTGGTGAGCCAGTTACACAGTTACTAATCATTCTCCACACACACACACACTCATCCAACTGGACAACAGATGTGGATAATTTACAGTCATGTGCATGCATTACCTACAGTAAGCAAACTTTGTATATTTGGCATTTTGAATGAAGGGTTTATACACTTGGTTAACCTCTGTGTCGTGCATAAAATACATGTAATATGTAGAATAAACTAAATAATGTCATCTCA